AAACTTTCCACACATCTTGTAAAAAATAAAGCAGTTTGTTGAGAAATTATTTATTTTATGTATAGAAACATTTTTTTCCAAAAATAGATCTGCTGATCTTTTTATGCCTGTACTGGTAGCTACGCTTAGTATGGAACTCATGGAACTCTAGTGCAGGAGGCTTCTTATCAGCTAGGTACCTGTAGGCAATGACAATCACAATCAATTGTTAATCACTGCATAATTTTTACTTTATGTAGCAATTTATTAAACTTGTTTAGATCACTTTTAATTAGTCGTAAGTAGTTAGTAGGGCAAATATCGTTGTTTTCGCTCAGTAACTTATTTAATTCCTAGTGGTGTCACGCAAGAATCAAACTTAGGACCTACCGTATCTATAATATACTTTAATGTTGCACAATTTCAGTTAAATTGTTCTATCTTTGCATATATAGACGAATGTTAAAGATTGCATAATCCTTTAGTGTCATTAACGACTGTGATCTTTAAATAATTTGAGCACTTGGTGTCATGAGAATAAAAACTAACGGAATTAAATGCAAATCAAGTACACTCTTCTGATCACCCTCTACTATTGATTATAAATATGTATTAAATGATGTGAAGGTTGAAAAGGTGGATCAGGTTAAAAAAGATCTGGGCGTAATAATTGATTCACAACTGACATTTATACCACATATTCGACATATTTGTGATCAAGGCACTAGAATATTAGGTTTTATTTTTAAGAATATTATATTATAGTATCGATGCATTCTTTACATTGTGCATATATTACATCTAAATTCTAGTACCTCTCTGATGTATGGGATCCTTATTATAATACTCCTATTTTATCGTTAACACGTATTCGGAGGAAATTCTGCTAACACCGTTGTCTATGTTAAGGATGGAAGGTATCCCGTAAAATCATGTTTAAATGAAGCTTTACTGTTCGAATTTAGTTTTAGTACATTGATGAAGAGTAGAATATTTGCCAACGTTTGATTTCTGTTTAAGCTGATCCATGGAAAGATTGATTATGCAAACTTGCTAAATAATTTGCGGTTCGTGTAACACGTTGAAGTTGTTGGCACCCTGAACCGTTCACTGCAGATTGTTGCAGCACAGACCAACATCACTGCTCACCCTTGCTATACCAACTATAGTATCTCTAGCTGACATTTTCTTAAATAACAAGTTTTTAGTCAGTAGTTGTAAGCAAGCTGTTTTGTTTCTTTCCGTAGATTAGTACCACGTACTCTTGTTTTGTATTTTTAATATTAGTAGTTACAGTCAGCTCAGTTGACCTATACCTAGTAAAACTTTTATGACAAGCGAAACCATTATGATAATAAGGGTCAGAAACTTAACTCCGCTCCAGGTCGGGCGTTTACTAATCCGACACCTTAACTCGGTCCGAGGTCATGGTAATAACTCCGATCCGACAAATGTTTACCTGACTCTAATTCTGCGTATTTAGTGGCTTAGGAAATGAAGTAAAAATTATTTTAATAATTGCCCATTTGAACAATATTAGTATTCATGAGGTGCAATTCTGTAAAAACTTGTTAAGTTTAAAGGGTGCTAATTTGCAAATTTCCATAATAACGAGTTAAATTCCTCAATCTGATTGACTGTATATTTTTAACGCATTTAACGAGGCGCTTAGCGACGTGTAATTGGCGTAGAGTCGGTCACGTGGTACCTTAACACCTATCAAAAATTTAATCACAACAAATATTTAATTGAGCTTCTGTAAACCGGGTCTTAAATTTTAACACACTTTGCTGCAGAATTGGGGATTACAAAATCGTATCCAGTTTTTATTATAGTGCAAAATTCTTTGCGATATAAAGTTCTCCCGTTGTCTAGCTTCCTTACTTACTCCACGTATACTTTCTGTCCGATTTAATTTCATGTTTGTATCTATTTCCCTGGGTTTTAAAATTGGAATTTAAAAAGGGACAGCTAAAATCTTTACAAAGTTTACAATTGGTGCTCTTATCAGTTTGGAACGTAGTTAAGGCCAGGGATTAAGGCACTCCTGGTACCAATGTAACGAGATTTGATTCTGGATCGCAGATGATCACCCGATCGGTCGTATGTACATCAACAGGGTCGTATTTAACAGAAAACTGGAACTTATGTAATGTACAAAATAAAAACGAAAAGAATACGGAATATTTAAACATTTATATGTTTACATGAACATATAGGTACTTATATAATACAAAAAGCAGTATGTTCAAATGACTAGTTGAAGCGAGTTTCACAGTAAAATAAAATTGTCATTAATCCAGGCCTATTCAGCTTTTGGTCTACTCTCTATAGTCTATTTCAGAACTCCGTCCGCTTAAGCCATATATGTCCCAAAGATTGACGGATTCCAGGGTTCCTCAACCGTCGGTCACTTGAGAGATGATAATTTTCATAGATCACTGCCACAATGGAGCAAACGATTCATTTTGTTTTATTACTGTAAAGAAATAAAGAAATAGATTACCTACCTGCTTCGACATTTTTAACGTCACTGCTTTCGAGTAAATCGCTACATCATGCTGAAAATGCACTATGGTTTTCTTGCTTCAACTCGTTTGCCTTATACTGAAAGACAAGGACACCCTTAGATTCGACAGTTACCTGCGGAAACCTTCTTTAACAAAAGAAGCTTCTGCTTACTGGCTGATAATTGTTGATTTACAATCACCAGGTATATGGCTTAGGCGAACGGAGTTCTGAAATAGACTTTACCTGAAAATTTGTTTGAGAATATTTAGGTACAGGCGAACCTTGCGATAGGCGCCCTTCCTTTACACATAAAAAAGCCATTTTTACAGAACAATTTTATTTATTAGTATATATTTTTTAGTAAGTATACAAAACAGATGCTATAATAAAATATAAAAAAAGAAACAAAAAAAAAAATTCTCGGTTAGTACATACAACATAATTTTTGGACGAATTTGGCGCCCCTTGTCGTTGGCGCCCCTAGGCAAGAGCCTACTTCGCGTATAGCTAGTATATAAAACTTTTACTAGGTACATGTCAACTGAGCTTATAAAACATATTTTTTTAATCTTTTTATAAAATTATATTTTTTTCTGTACAGTATAATTTATACTTCTATTATTTTAGAAACGACTCATCCGATTTCCTTCCACTTACCATCTTTTCTAGGTAAAATAGGTGATGACATTTTGCGTCATCTAAGACAAACGGATTCGATTGTATAGTTGTACTTGCCAAAATTAGAAAACCACCAACACTGAATTTTATCAAGAAAATATAACTGACAATTACAACTAATTCATACTCAACTGTAGATTTTGAAAGGGTTTGTTTCAAAACATTTTAAAGAGAGATAGTAAACTCAAATTCTACAAATGTTCATATAAATGACTTAATTTGTTTGTGCTTGCGTATTTCGTGATGACAACTTGAAGTTTCAATACCATAATATGAAAATCATCACTGGAGTTGTTTTTTTTTTTTTGTTAGAAACTGAAATCAACAAGTGGTGATTTTATAATTTTGGCAAAACTATAACTATCCCGGCATTTATTTCGGGTTTCGGGCTGGTTTGTCAGTTTTCTACTTCATGTATCTCATACATTTTTGAATCAAGTAGACAAAACATTTAATTTCATTAATGTCAAAAATTTCAGCAGAATATGCCGTAAATTGTCCTACTACAACAAAAAATTGAAAAAAAAATGTTTCCTGCAATTTCGTAAGGATTGTAGCTGGCAACATAATATAACGAGAAAAGTGAGTGAATTTTGATTGTCCTATACGGGCTGTCAATAAACTCAACATTGCGGCGAAAAGATCGTGAATGGATAATATCATATCAGAATTAATGCATTTTTGCTGTTTAATCTCAAAAATTATTGAAAAACCTTTAGGGAAAAATGCGCATGCAACAAAAGTAAGAAATTTAAGAAGACTTGCTACGAACATACAGAGGTCAGACTGCATGTAATATACTAGAATAATCACCCCGGTGCCTTCGTGGCAACAAGTCTTTTCTGGAAATATGTACCTATTTTTGTCGTCAGAGCGTAAGCAATTTGCACCACAATTGACATATTAAGTCCTAGTGAATGTTGATATAATTTTTAAAATAATAATGTGTACACCTCTGTGCAGACAAAAGCGTACATTTACATTTTATTTGTGTAATTTAGTCTTTAATTAATGTTTAATCTAAAATAGCCCTTTTCATATAGATTAAATATTGCAAAATTTGCTTTAAAAGGTCTTGCTTTTTTTGCAAAGAAGTAAGTAGTATAAATATATAAAAGTAGACAATAATTACTGAGAAATTTTGAATTATCCTTTTACGATAATAAATGTACGTTGTAGAGACTGAACTAGAATTGCAATGGTTGTTGAAAAATTGTTATTTATTGCATTTTTTGGGTTATTAATTTATGTGACGAGTTTTTAAAGATGTAACAAATTTGCAACCCCAGCCACATTAGTAAAAAAACACGTTGATCTTTCTGTCGTTATTAAAGAAAGCTTTGCACATAAATACGCTATTATGTTGGCGATTATTCCAGTAAAGAAAAACCGAAAAAACAGCGCGTGAAAAATGTTATCCGAAACGTAAACACCGTCAGTATGTCTGGCTGAAAACCAGCACGGACGCGACTAATTGAACTTGTTTGCACTTGCATAATTGAAGCGATTTGCTGTAAAATAATTTCAGCAAAAATGTATCAAACATCGAAAGCGAAACCCGAAAAATTTCAGTTTTGATTATTAATCGAGTGCAGCGGCGTGCTGTTTTGGCGCACATTAGGGTCAGCTTTTTCAGGCGTCCGTCGCTGAAGCTGAAATGTCGGAGGTAAAAGAAGCATTATTTTGAAAGTCCCAAAACCCGCCCGAACAGAGGTGGAATATTTTCATCTAACCTAACCTTTCAGTCGGCTGTGGGTATGATATGCAGGTGGGCCGAGCGCGGCCGACGCCTCTCGAGGACGGCCGATGTTTTCAGACCGGTCTTGGCGCTGCCGTATTTTGCCTGCGCACTCTGTTAGACTGTGTATCGCTCCGTGCACGATAGTTCATGCATGTGATAGTGTGTTCTTCAAGTGACATGTTGCACTACGCAACAATGACATCCCCAAGCCCGAATTAATCATGTGGTTTGAATCTCAGGTGAGTCCCTTTTTTTCTCAAAAAGCCCCAAAAAATCCCACAAACCCCCAAAAACCCACCTCCACAAAAAAGCCAAAAAACGCCAAAAACTGTTCTCTCTTCGATTCGGGCCGACCCCGAAAAATCGCCTTTTCGGCCGGCCGACGCGCGGTTTTCCCAGACATTTCGTCGGACGTGCCTTCGAACTACCCGTTTCAGCGAAATTCCGACACAGAAAGCGAGATTTTCAGTCAGGATTTTGAAAATTTCGATTCCACGTGACAACTGTCAAACTCGATCTAGTTACCTATGCTATCTCCGCATGTGTTTTGTTTTGAAACGAGCGGGATCGCAGTGCATTGAAATGGTTTTATGTACAGTCGACCAGTTGAAGCGTGGGCATGCATCGCGGGCAGGTAGCGCGCTTCACCATCCCCACTAGTCGGCATGGGCGTTTGGACATTAGTCTTGTACTTCAAGACAGAAAAGTGGAGGGGGCAGGCGCCAGAGTCAGACGGTTTGCTGTTTACGACGCTCACTTGATTTTTTTTTCGGAAATTTGGTCATTATTTAACACGGAGCCCCATTTTTGAAGACCTCTATATGAATTCTGCATTTATTTATTTATTAATTTTTTAAATTATAAAGAAAAAGCACGCCCACGGAAAACTATTTCAAAATCGCCACATCCAATAGCCGAATCATTTTGAGGTTAAGTATTTGAATCAATATTTATTTTGTTGATCCTGGCGTGACTCAACCCGATAGTCGAGACGAAAGTATAATTTTGAAAATCTCTGCGCGTATCGTGGAACAGTGAGTGTTTTAGCGGCAGTTTCTCGCAACAGCAAAAACTAAAATAAAAATACTCGCGGAACTCTAGGTATTATAAAGATACCAGCGGTGTCCCGCTTTCTACAACGCCAGAGAATATAGTCCCGTTTACTCGACAATCGAGCTTCCTTCGCACACTCAGATTCCAGTTTTGAAACTTTCTTTTGAATTTTCCTCAGTTGTCAATTTCGAAAAAAGCTATAGCTAGTAGAAAAGTTGGTATAATAATATCGATTGTTTAGTAGCGGGTCTAATAACACCGCGTTGGTGTCGTAACCATGGCAACGGTGGGCGTAACTACCGTGCTGTACACATCACAATGACATGCGTTCATTCAATGAGTAAGTTCACTTACAACGTGCAACTGCACTTTTTAAATACCGCCAAAATTTGGCAGCGGTAGTGAAAGCTCCTGCGGAAAATTGCAATCGGAACTTTACGAATTCCGATCGAATTTGGAGTAGCCGGCGTAGAAGTCGCAGCATTGTTTCGCTGATAATGGCAATACCGCGCCGTTTCGGGGCTTTATGGTTAAAATGAATCGCACTGTATTTGTACGATGTGGTTTAAGGCGAGTTATTTTGGGGCCAGAGGGGCCCCTTGCGTCTTTGCAATTCGATAAAAATAGAACGGTACTACGTTTAAGCTAATCACAAGCCCTGTTCTACACAACTATTTTGCACTGTATTTGGTTTTATTGTAATGCTCTAATTATACGGATTTTGTTAAATATCGAACGCCAGTCAGGTAAAGCCGAGGTTAATTAAATGTCCGAACTTTGGTCTAGTTTAGGTTTTAAGCTGCAATTAAAACCAGAAATTGTAACGTTTTTTATTAGTTCAGTTTCCCTGTTTGTGATTAGTTAGATAAATCCCAATAATTTTCATCATGTAAACGTGACTTTAAAAAAATTGCATAACATTAGAGAAAGTTTTTTTGGGGAAAAAATCTAAGAAACAAAAGTTTTATATCTACTAATTTTGCAAAGTAAATTTTAAATCATTACACGATATCCAGTGCACAAATTTTTGCTTAGCGCGTATAAATGCCACTTACTTCAAGACGTGCAAAAAGTTGCTCCTTATCTACTTTCATCTGCCACAGTTTTTATACCTTCTTCGTTAAGAATTAATACTTTAAAGCGTTAATGGTTGTAGCTTAATTACAGAAATTGCTGCGTGATAATGTTTGTAGAAGTTGCCATCTTTATTAGGTTAGTAGTTTTGCACTCTAAATGACGTGCATACGAAGCTTTGTTAAGATTTCATAATCGGTGTGTCATCTAAAATTACGATGTGTTGAAATAAACGACTATAATGTACAGCTTTTGGTCCCCGTAGTGTTACATGAGCACATCATAATCTATAACTTTACGCTACCCGAAATTTACTTCAACTACTTTGTGGATGAAAATAAATACATATTTTGATATACCGTGCACCTTTTTTGAAAATTATGCGTAATTTCTCTTATCGACAAGTCTTCAATGTATCCAGTGACCATTTCTATTTTTTCTTTAATTGTGTACTGCGTCATGTTGATGAATTTCGGTCGGTCAAAAGCAGTAATCGAACGAGTAATCAAATTTTAGGAACGTCAGATAAATGTCTGCCTACAATAATTCCTACAAAAATATGTACCTAAATAATTTTTTTTTTAAGAATATCCTTTAATTTAAAGCATAACGTTAGTAATAAAATCGGCAAAGGAAGACCCAAATTACATCCAGTAAAAATTTCAACTCTGAATCTTTACTCAAGCATAAATTAACACTGGGTATAAAATTTAACATGCGGGTCCCTGTGGCCACTTAAAAAAAATATACTGTATATTTGATAATGTTTTATCCGAGGTATATGTGATTGTAGAATGCTGTATTTACTAGTATAAAAGTTCGTGTTATATATTATTATTTATTTATTTATTATGCTAAATGTTCTTAATTTAAAGTTTAAAAAAAAATCCTAACATATGTTATAATAAAACGGTTTACTGGGCTGTGGTTCCCTGGGTATTTATATCTTTTGTTTGAGTCGTTAAATACGTACCAAATTATTTTATTTTTTCTTCTGGAGATACATACCAAACTGAATTCAAAAACTGAAATAATATGAAGGAATGACTTTCCGAAAATGAAATCAAAAAACACAAACTTTCTCTTTGCGACTATCACATCATCGATTTTTTAGGGGTAACTTGGGAATAAATTATTAATTATAGCAGACGAAATTTTGAATTGTAAAACGAACTGTTCTTGTAAAAAAATATGTAAATGTTTTAAACTTTTTACCAAACAACGTAAAAATAATTAAATTTGATAAAAATCACACGGTTTATACGTTCCGCATTTCAGGAACAAATTGGGGGAAAATGATCTTTTCTAAAATCTTGATTTTGCGTACCTATTATTTTCTGTGCTTGTACCTATTTTGAATGCATTTTTTACACTGAAACTTCGGACGGGTTTTTGTTTTTTAAGTGAGCGTCATCAACCAAAAATTTTCAAGTCCATTTTGAGAAATTTTAATCCGGTGAGAAGACTGCTTTTTGGCAAAATAAAAGCATCCTAATCGTTTCTAGTAGGGTGAACGCGCCAAAAGTTAGCTGTTTATCATACTGCGTCTATTAATAGAGGGATATTTTTTATTTCGTTCGTATTGTGCCGATTTTAATCATCATAAATTACCAAAGAAAAGGGAACGAGGCAAAATTTAGTTACCAAAAATAGTTTTAAAGTAAGATTTAATTTATAGTTGTAAATATTAGCGTATTTAAGTCATATCTTTGAGTGATGACGAATGCGAATATTGTCTAAAAACAGTAGAGCGAAATAATTCAGCTGAAAAAAAGTAGTCGCAATCCGTGTGTATGATTTTTGTTCTTCCCTTCGTAGTAAAAAGATAAAAATAGCATCCATTTAAAGTGAACATAAAGATGAATAAGAGCTTTTTAAATTTCTGACATCCGCTGCGAAGTTGAGGCGAAGTGAGCGCGAGCAAGAGCAAACACAGTGTCCGCATATAGTAAAGTAAGTCTCGCGAAGATGGAAAGGATTTTCATGAATGGGACGATGTTTACGTTAAAGCGGAACAAATCGTAAATTATGCGATTGTGCAAAAGTTGTCGGCAAGTGTCATGAGGTGGCGCTTAAAATGTAGTTAGCATTCGGGTCGAGGTGTGCTTTGCATCCGTCGCCGATGATGGAGCGTGTCGCGGCTTATCTGTAACACCTGTTAGACCGGCAGAGTAAACAGTAATTAGCATCGTAAACGAGAACAATGGAGGACGCGGAGACAGGCCGCCTGCGATCGGCTAACTAGATCGGCCGTAAAAACGTCATAAAACGGCAAATCATGCCTCATCAATCATCGGCAGCGGCCGGTCCAGCCACTGACCTCGCACAACCCGCCAGATATCCGAGTGAATGAAGGAACAGGTAATGTCACAGCGAGCAACTTCCGATATAATAAGCCGCGATTGGGTCCACGGCACGTGGGCCCGCCCCTCTGCCCGTTTTTATTGCATTATTGGCCGCTCACGTGTATGTAGCACTAATCTAGCAGGCCGTGCCGACAAGTGACAGTCGGCACGCGCCAAAGCGCCGCAATTGTCATGTCTTGGGTCGCACGGGTTACAGGTTATGCAAGTGCGCGGCCTCTCGGCGGTGTTTCGTTTCGCCGCCGGTGTTTCACCGGCCGTCGCTCTTATGAATGGGTGTCTGCCGGCGGCCGGACGAAACGAACGACGACCGACGACCGACGCATTCTTCTGCTTCATTCTGCACACCTACTGACTTTATCTCGCGTCCTACTTATGCGAAATCGAATCTCATCCCTCTTTGATGTCGTAATCGAAAGTGAGCATCATTCTTCATTCATGCACGCTGCGACCAGCCCGCGGTCCACTTTACGAACTTTTCTTCCTTCTTTCTTTCTTTACGACTCTTTCGCACGATGCACATCTATCGACGTTCTTTCTTTTTACACTACTTCGCTGCATAATACAGTCGAACTTCCGGAAGTCCAATCTACAAGGGACACTAGAATTCTTTCGAGTTAAACAAACTTCGAATTAAAGAAAATAAAAAGGAACGTTATTAGAAACTGAGTTTTATTATAACGGATGCTTACAAATTAATTTAGTTTAATTTTATTGGTAATTGGAAATTCGACCAATGGAAATTCTAG